TGTACGTGGTGTGTGCGTGTGTGTACGTGGTGTGTGCGTGTGTGTACGTGGTGTGTGCGTGTGTGTACGTGGTGTGTGCGTGTGTGTACGTGGTGTGTGCGTGTGTGTACGTGGTGTGTGCGTGTGTGTACGTGGTGTGTGCGTGTGTGTACGTGGTGTGTGCGTGTGTGTACGTGGTGTGTGCGTGTGTGTACGTGGTGTGTGCGGCGTGTGTGGGTTTCCGTGTATGTCAGCCTGTACGTGCGTCTACGTGTGCGTGTGCGTGTGTCTGGGTGTGTCCGCGTCCGACGACCTCTGGGAAATAACTCTACCGAACACGTTCATATGAGAAATCGTACAGAGGCATTAATGCTAAATAACAAAATCTGTATGGTATGTTTTCTTCGTGTGAGTCTGCGGGTGTGCGTTTGTAGGTTCCGGGACGTGTGTTTTTTATAGGTATGTATGCGGTTATATATGTGAGGCTGTGTATATTTGTCTGTGTGTGTGCAGTTGTTTGTGTATCTGTGTCTGTATGGGTCAATTACTGTGTGTGTGTGGATGTGTGCGTGGTTGTTTGTGTGTAGAAGGGAGTGAGTGGTTGTGTGTGTACGTAGTTATATGTGAGGGAGAGGGAGGCTGTATAATCAAGTGTATGTGTGGTTATATTTTTAATTTGTGGTTGTGCGTGTGTAGTTTTGTTCGTGCAGTTGTAGTATGTGGTAGGTTATGCGTGTGGTTGCGTACGTGTGATTATGTGTGTACTTGTGGTTGTGGTTGTGCTTGAGTTCGTGTGTGCAAGTGTCTGCGTACTGCGACCTCTGGCAACTCACCATACCGAACACGTTCCAAACAGAAATCGTACAAAAGTTGCATTTTCGAGGAATTAATTCTGAACAGAATCTAAACATTTTTTTTTTCTTCTCAAGTTCATATACGTGTGCGTGCGTGAGTCTGTGTGCGTGCGTGCGTGAGTCTGTGTGCGTGCGTGCGTGCGTGAGTCTGTGTGCGTGCGTGCGTGCGTCTGTGTGCGTGCGTGCATGAGTCTGTGTGCGTGCGTGCGTGAGTCTGTGTGCGTGCGTGCGTGAGTCTGTGTGCGTGCGTGCGGTACGTGCGTGAGTCTGTGTGTGTGCGTGCGTGCGTGAGTCTGTGTGCATGCGTGCGTGAGTCTGTGTGCGTGCGTGCGTCTGTGGGCGTGCATGCGTCTGTGTGCGTGCGTGCGTGAGCCTGTGTGCATGCGTGCGTGAGTCTGTGTGCATGCGTGCGTGAGTCTGTGTGCGTGCGTGCGTGAGTCTGTGTGCGTGCGTGCGTGAGTCTGTGTGCGTGCGTGCGTGAGTCTGTGTGCGTGCGTGCGTGAGTCTGTGCGTGTGTGTGTGCGTGCGTGAGTCAGTGTGCGTATTATTATTAATAATCATAATTATAATTATAATTATAATAGTAGTAAGAATAGTAATAGTAATAGTAATAGTAATAGTAATAGTAATAGTAATAGTAATAGTAATAGTAATAATAATAATAATAATAATAATAATAATAATAATAATAATAATAATAATAATAATAATAATAATAATAATAATAATAATAATAATAATAACAACAACAATCGGTTTATTGATTTTCATGCAGCCAGAGGCTAAAAATATGCATAGAAATGCAGATAAAGAGACAAACTATATATACATAAATGCAAATAAACAAAAAAGTAAACTAACGTGTGCTTATGTGTGCGTGTGCGTATGTGAGCGTGTGTGTGTGTGACCGTATGTGAGTTTGCGTGTGTCTGTAGATGTAGTATATCTGTCAGCAGGTGCATTATATATATTTTTTTAGTTTCGAGTTTGTTTGTTTGTTTTAAATGAAAACATGGAAATATGACTAATATTTAATTGATTTAACTAATATGATGACAGGCCTGCAGACTAAAATGGGCTGTCATCCAAGAGAAGGTATGTATCTGTTTACGCTAAGATCACAAGGTGTCGCCTTATTATTGTCATTTCAGAATCTGGTTGTGAGAAATAATGATCCTACGAGATATGCCAAAAAATAGAATACTGCTTCTTACTAAGCTAAAGATGCTTCGAGTAAACTCACCTATTTCCCGGTAAATAACAAGTTACATTTTCACTGGTCTAATGCAGGCTTGATCACCGTAGGAATGCACTAGACACAATGACAGTCAAACGAATGTCTGCTTGAGCAACAGCGCACCAGCCCCACCTCTGTCAGGGCAGACGCGATCAGAACCCGTGTTGCTCCTGTGACTGGTGCCTTGACAACAGTGTATGATAACTTTCAGTTCTTTATATCACTTAGAGCTGCCTTAGACTTTTTGTTTTTGTTGCTCTTTTCTTTTCTATATATATATATATATTTTTTTTTCTTTCAATGAAATCGTATCAAAAGTATACGCAAGACGTGGAAAGGTATTATTATAAATGATGTGACTTTCTCAGTACTGACTTCATGTATTGTCTAACAGAAAAATGGATGTAGAATGAACAGTAGATTAGTATTC